TTAGGTTGTGTGTTTTGTGTGGGCTGTTTGGGAGCGCTGGGGGTGAGAGGAGGGGGGCAGGGGGCTGCTCTGGGCAGGAAGTCCAGAGGACTTGACAGGATCTCTCTCCTGTTTACAAATACGTAACCAAAGTGAAATTAAATTCCTCCACAGAAAATACTGAAAAAAATGATAAAAACATTGTTTCAGTAATTGTGGCAGATTGGTATCGTTCCTCCTAACAGTGACCTAATTTGTAGTTCTCGCAACACTTAAGTGGCACTGTACCTGACTGGTTTGGTAGAAAAAACACGATGACGTGTTGATATACGAGATAGACGAGTATTGACTTGAGCTGCAGAACTGAAGGGACACACATACAGACACACAAATTGCACAGATAAGTGAAGCAATTTAATGACCTGTCACCGAAAAGTTTACTTCATGTGCATCAAGTATTTGAAGTGTTGCGCAGCACCTGTGTTGAGGAGAAAGGTCAAACCGAGTCTGCATGGCCTTTAGAGATTTGGTAGCTTGTCTATATAATTTGTGGTCATCACCATCATCATCAGTGAAACGACCTTGAGTCTGTGCTGTCCTCTAGTGGTGTCACATGGGAATTGCTAGACCAAGGCAGTACAAAGTAAAGAAAATGATAACAGTCAAATCCTTTTTTCGACCTATTATGCATTTTAGTGTAATGCTGTCAGCATTAATAGAACATCTCAAGCTCAATGTACCTTTCATCTGTGAGCTGTTGAAAGCCTGGTGGCTCTGGAACTGCACCATCTGAAGCAGCTGGCCTGAGGACAGGGCCAGGATCAGAAGAAGCCTCAGGTGCTTGGTTTTGAACTAATGAGGAGTCGCTACCTGGTGACAAGTTAAGTTCTTGAGCAGGCGATACACTAGAAACAGGTAAACGGGATGCTGGAGTGTGGGTACAAACAGGACTCGGTCCGAGAAAATGTGGGACGTGTGCTGGCATTAACATCGCATCAAGAGACGTGTTATTTGGCGTTTGGGTTTGACATAATTGTATTTGGCTTGGGGTTGAACTAGTGTGCGTCAAAGGTACATACATTGGAGCTAATGGATAGTTGATATTAGACAAATGGGTTGGGTGTACTTGATAAAACATGTTAAAAGAACTTGAATATGTCATTGGGATGGCAACTAAGTGAAGGGGTGTTGTAGATGAGGCATTGTTCTCTTGATATTGAGTTTTTAAGAAGCTGCCAGGTTCAGAAACGAGGAAATAGTTGGGGATTGTAGCGCCCTCCTCTGGCCATTGCTGATTGGCTGACGAGCCTGCCACCTGTGGCTGTGGTTGGTCAATGTGATCAGATGTGGACGTGGCTCCTGCATCATTCAGTCCACTGAAGGCTGAGCGTGAAACCTCTATTTGGTCAATGGATTGATGTGTTGGAGATCTGTCACTGGCAGATAACAGATAGCAGACCATAATAACACATAATAGTTTTTAGATGCATTTCAAATATATAGTTAGATTGAAGAAGGAGTTTGTTATAGTGGAGGTGTTAAAGTGATCAGTAAATGCTCTAATGTGAAAACTGTGTTATAGCTTGCAAAATCACAGTGTATTAAACTTCAGTTTGTAACACATCAAATGATTGGCCACATGTGTGAACACGCATGGTTAGTTAGTACCTGTGATTACATTAAAAAAGCCTTTTCGTAAATGCTGTTTTATTTAAAAGTGACTGCCGTGTTGTGGGACAATTTAACATGACAGGTGGAGAGGTGTAAAAAAAAGGTGTCACAAGTTTAATGATGATTTATACCATTTATACGTGACCTGCCCACTGTTTGTCTTAGATTCAGTGGGACAACTAGAAGAGTAAAGAGTGGAGGAACTGAGGAAGAAGGGGAGAATGGAAGGAAGGAAAGGGACACCAGAAACAGAAAGAAAGGAAGACAAGGAAAACACGTAATCATTTTATTAGCTACAGTATTAATAGTATTTTTTTTTTTAACTCAAAACACAGAAGATACATTTCAGCCACCAGACGTCCGGCTGTTTTCAAAATGCAACACCATTACAATCGCCAAGGAATTAACTGTGATTAAATCTGCAGAGAGTAAACCTAGGGTTGAAATAAATGTAGAGGCACTGGAGACATATTTTACATAGCAAGGGCCTCAAAAAATACCGTTGCATTGCAAGCATTAACAGCATTTATACAGTCACTTTGCACACCATCAAAGCTGAACAACCTGCTCACTGAAAAGAGCCTTCCTGACTTGCCTTATACCATACAAATGTCTTTCAGCAGCGATCTGGTTGATCTGTTTACATTCCAGCAGCATATCAAATAAGATATTGTTTTTTATATAATATACATGCAAGAAAACTTTGAATTCTCTTCCCACTTTTCAGATGACACCATATTAAAAGACACTTTTTTTCATAAAAAGCTTATATATGGGTTTGAAGTGTCTCTCATGACATTGCAACAGTCCAAATAAAATGAAGGGACATTCATAACTAATGCACTATCAGACAGACCAAAGCCAGATTTGCTATATTCAATAACCTCAGCAATAGCCTTCTTAATCCAAACCACACACCTTCCCAGCAGTGCAGTGATGTAGTGCATTTGTAAAAAAAAAAAAGTGGGACTGACAGTTTTGCATCTCTCTCATTAGCTGTATGCAGACTTCCATAATAGGCTGCAGGGTTTGCCTATTTACACATTTGAGATATCTGTATATCACATCATGTTTAATAAGAATGAACATAGACTGAGAGGTCCATTAAAATGTTGTCTGCCTTTTCTCACCACCGTGGGAACCGGTCCTGTTGGCTGCCTGCATCACAGCCAGCACATTACAATATACAGTATGGAGTCAGTGTATGTACTATGTATCTCTAGGGAAGACAATACATTAATGTAGTCGGAAGTCTGTGATAGGCAGAGATGCAGATTGACAACTACATATTTTAATTTGTTCAGAGTATTTTATTGGATCCCATTTAATAAAAAACTTTGGATTACTTGTCTTCCAAACCCATTAATGTGGAAAAAACACACACAAATACGCTGGTGACACATTTTAAACTCAATACTTTATCCTAACTATCCAAATAAATGTTTTAGCTTTTATTAGTATGCAGATAGCCCTGGTTTCATGAAATCACTACCTTGTACACAGAGAGGAGCATACAAATGCTGTGACCAAACCCAAATTCATGTATAATGAGGTCAACACACTAATAAAAGTCAGTATTTACGCAGCAGTATACCTTTATGGCTGGAGTCAGTGGAGTGGCTGAGCACGTAAGCAGCACTTCATTAAAAGGTCTGAATGAGGCCAGCGCAGTACAGCCACATAAAGAAACAGTAAAGGACAAGCCCACACACACACACACACACACACACACACGTACACAAAGAAACTCCACTAGTTCCTTTACAAGCGTTCACTCCAGTATTGTTTGATTTATTTCCTTTATTTCCACAAGTCCATAAGCATTTATCCCTTCAGCAG